GTTATTGAGTAAGTCTACCAAGATTTACTTATAAGTAAGCAGATCGCACCTCATTATTTAATACTAATTAGTTAATCATTAGCTATTATTAATTAATATAGTTTTAAATTACATTAGGAATGCATGAAGAATAATTACATATATTTTTTTGTTTATAATTAATAACAATTACTTTCTAATTATTATTTTTCTGTATAAATGACATTTTAATCAAATTTAATATTTTAATTACATATTAATATTTGTGAATTCTAATTTAAAACAATTTCTAATTATCCAATAGTGTATATGAATGGTAATAGACATGAATGTTTTGATTTGATATAAATGAATCTAATTAATAATGATACATTATTTTTATTTATTATTTTCTATATAACTAATATTTTAATTAAATTGGTATTTAAGTTAAAATTAATGTAATCAATAATATATAAATACTAATTAAATGTAGTTTCCAATTATCAGTTATTTAATACTAACTATTTATAAAAAAAAAATATTACTCAATACAATCATCATAATTATGATTTTTTTTAATAAAAGTTCAACTTTTATTTAGTAATTAGAAAGAAAAATAATTTTATATATCATTTATATAAAAAAAACATAATAATTAAGTTAATGATAAAAATAAATATCTTAACCTTTTAAGAGAAAAAAGAATTAGAAAAAAAAAATAGTGATGTGAGAAGAGAATAGATGAAAAAAGTTAAAAATAAAGAATAAGAATTAAAAAATGTGTGGAACATACAAAGGACATGAAAAAAATAACTTTTATAAAAATTTCAGAAATTTATTAACTTGTAATCACATTTGATATTTACTTAGTATTTACTTTTAATAGGTTATCAAATTAAAAATTATATATGAGAAAAAAGTTAAGAATAATTAATGAAAAAAAATAGAAAAAATATCATGTTACCTAACTCTCTCAATTCTCTAATTTCACTAAACGTGAAATAATATGTGACTATATGAAAATATATTAGAATAAAAAGATTATATTTTTTAATAAAATCTCATATATATTTCGAAATGACAAGTTGTAAGACAAAATAGTGAAAGATGAATAATATAAAAAAGTTAATTTAAATATTTAGAATTTATAATTATGAAAATATATAAGAATAAAATTATAAAATAACTAGTAAGCATTTTTCTATCATGGAAAAGCTTTAGATATTTTTGGATTTTTTTTTTAATAGAATTTCACTGTAAAGTCTACCATATCACTAAAGTCTAGTGCTTATAATGTTCACATGTGATTCTAAAATATATATCAAATCACTTTAGAAAGAATATAACTTTGTATTATGTGGACATGCCATATTTATAAATAAAAACATTCTATAAAACTTGAAAAAATTGTAAAATTGATTATTTTGTTGTATCAAATCACCATTGCATAATCTCAAAGCTTTGTGGCAGTTTCAGCATTGAGACACATGGGATATAACGAAAAGAAGATGAATGGAGAGGGGGAGATAGTGAAGGTTGAGCCAAAACCCAGCAATGGTTTGATCTCAAAAGTGGTTGATTTGTTGGAGAAGCTTGTGGTGAAGTTCATGTATGATTCTTCACTGCCCCATCACTACCTCATCGGAAATTTTGCTCCTGTTCCTGAGACCCCTCCCACTAAGGACCTTCATGTAAAAGGGTACCTACCGGTTAGTACTAGTGTGTCTTTTCTTTGTTGAATTTATTCTTTATTCAATATAATTAAAATGTACTCATATTGTAATGATGGACTAACAGTTTAAAATGTTTTATTCTGTTATCCAATCACATATTGATTATTATCATGTAAGGCACTGCAGTAAGATGATTGACTTGTAATACACTCAGCCTTCTGGTTTTCTGGTTTCTGTCATTGAAAACTATTAACTGACATATAATTACAGCATGTTACTTGTAATACACTGTGCCACTCATTGCCTACCATTTGAAATGTGTTGCAGGATTGCTTGAATGGGGAGTTTGTCAGAGTTGGACCTAATCCAAAGTTTGCTCATGTAGCTGGATATCACTGGTATTTTTTTGTTTATTTCTTTGTTTTAGTATATTTTGAACACTATATTCTAAGAGATGGAACATAGCCTGGTGAAAAATGCATTTCATGGTGATCATTGTAGCTTATCAGTATATTGATTTTCTTTTTCCTATATTTATTTTTATGAGATTGTTTGGTTGTTTATCTGTGTTAAAAAAATGTGTTCTTAAAGTGGATTTTGATGCTTATACATTGCTTTCCTTCACTGTTTTTGCAGGTTTGATGGTGATGGGTATGTGATGTTCTTCCTATATGCAAAACATATATCTCTTTCGAGTTTGTTATAGATGAGTTTTTTGTGTCAATAAACTGGCAATATTTGCAATTGCTTGAGGATACTGTCGATTGTTGAGCATCAAACTTCAATAAAAAAACTACATAGTTTTTTTTATTTTTTACTAGAATCTTCTTTCATAGAATTTTTTGATTATCCATTTTCATTGTCCTCTAAAATTTGTAATCTTTAATTTAGTGTAGTGTCAATTTGGATAAGTAATTACTTAACTTCTAATTATGATCCAAGTTCTGATGAAACTCCTCAGCCAGATTCTCTAGGATGTATTCCCCCTCTGTTTTCCTTTCCTGGTTTTATTTATTTCTGTCTTGTTTATTCCTTTTCTTTTCCGTCTTGCTTCATTACTGTTAGAGATATATTGTTAAAATCATTCATGTATCGCTTAACAACTCAAGCTTTTGGATAGTTGGTTCATGATAATTGCATTTAAGGTACTCATTGAATTGGTATTAACTTCTTTTCATCTTGTGGAACGTAACCATGACAATAATAAGAGCAGATTTATAGAAAATGAAGGTCTACACACAGTTAATCACCACCTAGTAATTCAATAAAGCATTAGTCACACACACATATATATAATTATATATATATATATATATATATAAATGTGTGTGTGTGTTGTATATATATCATGTTTGGTCATCAAATTTAAGATAAGTGTATCTTTTAACATGCTGTGAGGATATATGGCCTTTCAAATGATCAAACTGATTATGCATGGTTATGGCTCGGTCAATTTGAAATTTAATTTACTTATGATACATTCTTCTGAAGTGAATTTCACAGGGCTTGTTATATTGAATGAATGTTTAGGAAATGGGGCATTATGGAAGATTGTGTGAGAAGTAGCAAGAGAGGATTACAAATTCAGCATGGGATAGAAGTGTAAGCTTCTGCCAACATGGAATGATGGGAGGGAGAGAAAACCATAAGGGGATTGGTTAGATTGTTAGGTGGGAAAGAGAAAAAGAGGGAAGAGGTGAATCAGAGAATCAGGAAAGAAATGAGTTAAGAACCAGGCCTCTCAAATTGCTTGGGTTCAGAGAGAGTTCATTTACTCTTGGTCCAAATCATTTGTTAAATATTAACATATCAAATATTTATTACTGTAGTTTTAAATTGAAATAGACAAAAAATTACAACATGATATGTTTCATTTTCACGATATACATTCGAGGGAGGTTCACTATAAGGGATGTTCATTTTATTTCTAGCTTTTTCTTCTTGTCCAAATTTAATTAAATGTCTAATCCAAAACAATATAATATTTAGATAACAAAGAATCTGCCATACATATTTCAGTACCTTGTTGTGAATTAAACACCAGTTCCAAATATACATTCAATTTTGACTTTTAGCAGCTCATTCATTATACTGGAAATGATACTGTTTCTGATGTTCTTAAATTTTTGGCAGTAAATAACACTATATAAAATTCATAACTTTGGCATCAGTTCCTCCAATTTTGATCTATATATCAATGAATTGCAGAATGATTCATGGTTTGCGTATCAAAGATGGAAAATCTACATATGTTTCCCGTTTTGTGAGAACTTCTCGTCTTAAACAAGAAGAATACTTTGGAGGCTCCAAATTTATGAAGGTATGAGAAGAAAGTGAAAATTTTACTAGTCTGAGAAATGTTTTGTTATAGACTCCCAAGACAAAAAATAGTTTCTTATATCTCATTTGCAGATTGGAGATCTCAAGGGTCTATTTGGACTTTTAATGGTTAACATAAATATGCTGAGAAGTAAATGGAAAGTGCTGGATACTTCTTATGGAACTGGAACAGGTAATTTGTGCCATACAATTGTTTTCAAATTTAAGGTCCCAAGAAATGTTTTACATTCTGTAAGTTTGTTCAGTGCAATTCAAGAAATGTTCAGTGCAATTCAAATAGTATTTTGTAATGTATGTTCATGTCCCGTTTGAAGATTCCCCTACTGTTGCATTATGTATGGGCTTCTTTTTCAGTATTAATACTTCACAAAACATATTAGAAAACAATGACTAATTTAACATTCCATTTTTAAAGTAGCCCTCAATTTTCTTTTTCAAATAACTGGAGATTTCATTACCTGGTACTGTTGCTCATATTTGTGTTTCGGTGAAATCTTTCGATGGTTTTTGACTGGGAATACCAAGCTCTTGTGTATGACTGGAAGTGGTGAAACTAAATTGTGCTCATTCTCTAATTTGTACCAGCCAACACTGCTCTTGTATATCACCATGGGAAACTTCTAGCACTCTCGGAAGCAGATAAGCCCTGTTAGTACCAAATTTATCTGTTTTAATGTTATGAACGATAAAAACTTGTTGATATCTGACATGCCATTAATTTTGTAGAACAAAGGGTTGAAAAAAGTTCTTAAGTGGCAATGGTTTTTTCCTTTCTCATGGAGAAAGTAACTGCAGTCCAATTAGTGACAAATAGTTACATTTTGAAATTCGCAGATGCTATTAAAGTTTTTGAAGATGGTGATTTGCAGACACTTGGCATGCTAGATTATGACAAGAGATTGGGCCACTCCTTCACTGCTCATCCAAAAGTTGACCCATATACTGGTAAAGCCACCTTCAATTAAGTAATTAAATTGATTGATTTAATGGAAAAATCATTCCAACAAATAAATATCCTGTATGCAGGGGAGATGTTTACATTTGGCTATTCACATACACCTCCATATATCACATACAGAGTAATTTCAGAGGATGGTTATATGCATGATCCTGTACCCATAACAGTATCAGATCCCATCATGATGCATGACTTTGCTATCACAGAGAATTATGCAATATTTATGGATCTTCCTTTGATTTTTAGGCCAAAGGTATTACACATGTGTTTCCGTTCTTCTTATATTCTGGCAAAAGCTTATATTGCAGGTTTGGAGTTTTTTTTTTTAAACATATTAGAAAACAATGACTAATTTAACATTCCATTTTTAAAGTAGCCCTCAATTTTCTTTTTCAAATAACTGGAGATTTCATTACCTGGTACTGTTGCTCATATTTGTGTTTCGGTGAAATCTTTCGATGGTTTTTGACTGGGAATACCAAGCTCTTGTGTATGACTGGAAGTGGTGAAACTAAATTGTGCTCATTCTCTAATTTGTACCAGCCAACACTGCTCTTGTATATCACCATGGGAAACTTCTAGCACTCTCGGAAGCAGATAAGCCCTGTTAGTACCAAATTTATCTGTTTTAATGTTATGAACGATAAAAACTTGTTGATATCTGACATGCCATTAATTTTGTAGAACAAAGGGTTGAAAAAAGTTCTTAAGTGGCAATGGTTTTTTCCTTTCTCATGGAGAAAGTAACTGCAGTCCAATTAGTGACAAATAGTTACATTTTGAAATTCGCAGATGCTATTAAAGTTTTTGAAGATGGTGATTTGCAGACACTTGGCATGCTAGATTATGACAAGAGATTGGGCCACTCCTTCACTGCTCATCCAAAAGTTGACCCATATACTGGTAAAGCCACCTTCAATTAAGTAATTAAATTGATTGATTTAATGGAAAAATCATTCCAACAAATAAATATCCTGTATGCAGGGGAGATGTTTACATTTGGCTATTCACGTACACCACCATATATCACATACAGAGTAATTTCAGAGGATGGTTATATGCATGATCCTGTACCCATAACAGTATCAGATCCCATCATGATGCATGACTTTGCTATCACAGAGAATTATGCAATATTTATGGATCTTCCTTTGATTTTTAGGCCAAAGGTATTACACATGTGTTTCCGTTCTTCTTATATTCTGGCAAAAGCTTATATTGCAGGTTTGGAGTTTTTTTTTTTTTTTTTTTGTGTGTGGGGAAGGGTTGTGTCAAGAATGGTTTGATGGTATATAGTCTATTGACTTTGTACATCAATTGATGGCAATTAATGAATCTGGCACTGTTGATTGAAATCCATTTTTCAGGAAATGGTGAAGAATAAGACACTGATATTCTCATTTGATTCAACCAAGAAAGCTCGTTTTGGTGTGCTACCTCGATATGCTAAGGACGAAAAACATATAAGATGGTTTGAGCTGCCAAACTGCTTCATATTCCACAATGGTGTGTTTGCTTGTTTTTGTTTCTCCATAATATATTATGTTGATTAATATTCTTTAATGATGATTTTTGAAAAAATTCAGTAGTCCATATGATTGAAGTGAATGATTAGAAACATTTTAGTGAACCCAGATATTTTTCCAGCCAACCTTTGAAGTCTGTCTAGTCTGTAAAATCATTATAATTATAATGACAAAGGTTTTAACAATCCTCCACTAACGTGCAAATCACTAAGATGGTAGGAGTTAGATAGAAGTGATGGGAAAATTTGTTACAGGCAACTAGAGTAGTTAATTAATCAGTTATATGGGAATTAGTCAGGTACAAATAGTGGGAATTAAGATGATAGGAGATAGAAGGGAAGGGAAAATTAGTTAGGGAAGTTAAATTAGTTATCGGATTTAGCTATATATATATATATTGGGGGAATTGGAGGAAAGGGTCCATTCTATCTTTTTATCATTTGAGAGTTGAGTTTTGTTCTTTGTGAAATGAAAAGCCCTTTGTGAAGGAGAAACCCTTGAAGGAGACTTTCACAAATAACTGAAGTCTTGAAAACACAAAGGGATCAAGATTGCACTTGATCAGTAAAATTATTCAAAATTAATGACATTCATAATTAACAAAAAAAAATGTCATAAGCCTCTTAAACAAGACACAAACACAGAAGAGTACACAAGTAGTTTATTAGTCAGTTATTGGAATTAATTAACTAAATGATCCATTCTATCTAATATCATTTGCAAATTGAGCTTTGCCCTTTGTGAAAGGAGAAATCCATTGTGAAGGGGTAATCCTTCAAGTAGAGTTACCTCTCCTATCTTCTGTTCTTTTGCAATTAAGAAATACAATCTTGCTTTTTCTCATCTATTTTCTGATCTAGGTTCCTAACAGAAATTGTCCTTTGTTAATATGTTTGAAACTTCGAATACAAAACCAAGTTTAGTCTGTGCTTTGAATTCTTTATTTCTGATGGGCTTGTCTGTTGCAACTTTTTTCAGCCAATGCTTGGGAGGAAGAAGATGAAGTCGTTTTGATCACATGCCGTGTTCAGAATCCAAATTTGGACAATGTCAGCGGGGCAGTCAAAGAAAAGCTTGAAAATTTTGCAAATGAGCTGTAAAAGACACATTTTTACATGTTTATTTTGAAAAGAAGTTTACTGGATTACTGTTCTTTATTAATGAATTTTTGAACTATTTTCCAGTTATGAAATGAGATTTAACATGAAAACCGGTGAAGCTTCTCAAAAGAAACTATCAGCATCTGCTTTAGATTTTCCTAGGGTGAATGAAAGCTACACTGGCAGGTAAGCTCATTCTCCTCATGTTGAGAAAATATAGAGAAGTCAAAGTACTCAACAACTTGTGAATTAGTCTATCATAATCATCTGTCAATTTGATCATGGAAATTTTTGTGGTCACATTTACTCTTTCCTTTCATCAGGAAGCAGCGATATGTATATGGAACCACATTAGACAGTATCGCAAAAGTTACTGGAATTATAAAATTTGATTTGCATGCCAAACCGGATCATGGAAAAACAAAGCTTGAAGTTGGAGGAAATGTTCAGGGTCTCTACGACTTGGGACCGGGGAAGTTCGGCTCCGAAGCTGTTTATGTCCCACGTGTACCTGGCACCGATTCTGAAGAAGATGATGGATACTTGATTTTCTTTGTACATGATGAAAATATTGGGTATCACTTCTATGAAATTATTTTTGTATGCTTGAATTGTAATCATATATGTATGGCTCTTTTGGTCATTATGAGATATGACTTATTTTTAGTTTTTCTTATCTTCTTCTGAGTAGAATAATAGCTAACATGAATTCAAATTACCAAACTGCAGAAAATCATTTGTGCATGTCATCGATGCAAAAACAATGTCATCAGATCCTGTTGCGGTTGTTGAATTGCCACATAGAGTTCCATATGGTTTCCATGCCTTCTTTGTGACAGAGGTTTGTCTTATAACTACATATATTTCTACATTGCATTTCTTCCTCTCTTCTCCACATTACTGCAATGTTTATTCAGTAACCACTCTGAGTTAGCTGGTATTAATGCCATTCAAGTTTGAGTGGAGGTTTTAGAAGAGTAGTTTGAGTGCTTAGCTTTGTCTGATATGAACTAATTTCTAGTAATATAAAACCATTTTTCTAAAAAAGTTATCAAAGGAAAAATTCATTTGTTTCTTATTGTATGTTCACCTCTCACTTTTGTTTAAGACCATGCTACTGATTATAACTACATATGCTCTTTGGGCAGGAACAACTGCAAGAGCAGGAGAAACTGTAATAATGTTTGCAGCTACACTACTGTTCTACTCAGTCTGTGTATACATCTTTCTACAAATTATCAATCGGTGTACTATATCCCCAGTATCACAGCAAACCAATGTATACCCATTGTTTAGAAATGGTTAAAATAAATTTTATTCAAGAATAATAAATATTGAATTGTATATTTGTTTGGTTTGCTATCTGGTTTGTTTGGTTTTGATCTGGTTCAACTGATTTTTTATTGGTTTTCAAAATTTGGTTTGATATTCTATAAAATATATTTATCTGTCCATTTGTAATATATAAATTTTGAGGCACAACACATGTAAGCAACATTGAAACATGCAATTTCGCCATACCAAGGTTTTAGCTTACTTATCATCATTTACTTTTTAAACACAATTTTATATATATATATATATATATAAAAAAAGTCAAATGGAACAAAAGTCTCCAAGTAACATACCCTAAAATCTAAAAGTAATATCCTATAAGAAAAGAAAGAAAGTGTCTCACAAATACAAAGACAAAATGAATCTATACAAAGAACTATTGTATACAATCATATGAAAAGTCTTCAAAATTAACCTATTTCTCTTGGGTCCTTCAATGTATCAGCTCTTGGTTTTATTGGCCTTGGCATGATTCCATCACCTTCACAAGTTAAAAATTGACCGTTACCTACAACGACCTTGAAATCCGGTGCAAGTTCCACTAGTAGTCCCAAGAACTTGGCAAGGTGAGGCTAAATAAAATTATTTAAGGACCCACTATCCAAAAGAACCTGAACAAAATGCCCCATAATAGATCCTTGAAATCGTAGAGTGCCTAGCCTCGACAAACCATGGAATGCATAATGGGAGAGATGATGCAACTCTCTGTTAGTCTCGTCAGAAACAGGAATCTCATAATTAGTGCCTCCAAGACTAGATGAATCTGGGTGAGGGTCGTCATCATATTGTAAGAGTAGGAGTTGACGGTTTGGGCAACGATGAGAAGACGTGAATTTCTCATCGCATGTGTAACAGAGTCCACGTTCACGACAGAGCTACATCTCTGCTGGGGACATGTGTTTGACTTCAGCCTTAGGATGTGAATTAGTTAATTTCAGAGTTGAGGGTGTTGGTAACAATCCCAGAAGGGATGTCTTTGGTTGGTGTTGGGCCGAAGTTTGAAAACGGTTCTTGGAATTATTTTGCATGGGATAGAAAACTTTGCCTCATATAACTTTGCAAGGGCCACTACTCTAACTAAAGACGATGGTGCTTGGACGATCACCTCACGCTTAATGTTAGGTTTAAGCCCTCCAATGAAATAGTCTAAAAGAGTTGCCTTTGAAAGGTCTTCCACGCGATGAGCAAGAATAGAAAAATGATTATAATATTGGTGAAAAGATTCAGTCTGAACTAATTTTAGTATAACTGCACAAGGTGAATCAAAAGGAGATGGTACAAAGTGAGTTTTGACGGCTTGGGTGAGAGCTTGCTAATCTAGAATAAGATTAGAACGTTGAAGCATCTGAAACCATGGTCCAATGTCTCCTCCCATATGAATGGCCACAATCAATAAACGCTCCGGTTCCAGAGTTTGATATAGAGCAATGAATTTTTCCGCACGAAATAACTAATTCAACGGTTCAACATCATCAATTTAGGAAAATTCAGTTTCATTGAATGAAGGGCAGAAGCAGTACCCACACCATGCAATGGAGGATCGTGGCGAACATCTCTTTCCAAATTACGAGAAATCGCATCCATCGGACGAGTGAGGGTATCCAGGGCCGACTCCAAACGATGCATATGGTAAGGATCATGCAATTTCATGAAAGTGTCAAGCTATTTTTCTAATTGAAAAATGCATTCTGCTTCTTGAGTTTCTTGGGATGCCACAACATCTTGAAGTTTGCAAAGATCTACAGCCAACTCCTTTAAACGGGACTTCTTAGCCATTGAGTCTCTCAATAAAAGCACCAAATGATATGATTCTTTACAAGGTGACAATGACAAGTATTAATTGATTTAAATTTACTTCCTCTAAATATTAATATGATCTGTGACACCCTTACTACCCCAACACATATTGTAACTTTACAAATAAATGTCTTAAATTTCGGTAAAAAGGTTCACATGAAAAACTTTAAAAATCGTTCTTCAATGACCACAATAATAAGGATTTAGAAAATGAAACACAAGAGTTTATAAATTATTTTCAAAATGATATTTACAAATTCCAAATCCATATAAAAATTATGTCCTAAAAGTCCTCTGCCCCGATGTCACAATATCAGAGTATATCCCTAATTTAACTGTTGGCATTCCAGATGCCACTCGCAGCCGGATCTTCTCACCTAAAACGTCCACAAATCGCACGGTGAGAAAAGAAAACATCTATATATATAGCACATAAGAAAACACAACATATTATCTCATTATAACTAATATTCATAAATATTTCAACATATCTTATTTCAATCAATCATGCATCGTCATCACGTTATAATTCTCAATCACACCATTCATCACAAATCTTGTACTTCAGACTATGCCAAGGTCACGCTACCCAATTAACAACCCAAGACCGTGCTCACCCCTGATATAACACTGTGCCAAGGTCACGTTACCCCTAACCTAGGGTCGTGCTCACCCCTGACATGTTAACCAAGGTCATGATACTCATATAACAATCTCGGGTCGTGCTCACCCTTGGTCATAGGTGTGAAGAACCACAATCACATCTCATTCACATCAATCCATCACAATCCACATAAATCTTACAATTAACACTATGTCAAGACCATGCCACAACTGACACAAGTGATACGGGTTAATTGCCTCACTCATCCCACACCATGCCAGGGTCATGCCCTCCCTGTAGCATCACTTACCCAGGGGCCGTGCCATCCCTAGTCATTAATGTGAGGAACCACAATCACATCACAATCCACACAATCTCTTACAATTAACCCTATGCCAGGGCTGCCATATTTGACATAAGTGAGACGTGTTAACTGTCTCACTCATCCCACACCATGCCAGGGTCACGCCCTCCCTGTAGCATGACTTACCCAGGGGTCGTACCATCCCTGGTCATTGATGTGAGGTACCACAGTCAAAATCATAATCATATCCACACAACATCTCATAGTTCAATTCCATACACATATAAGATAAGTCCAAAATAATGGGTTTACACACCCCTCAAGCAATTCACATCTAGATCATCAATTCATAACAATAAAATTCATAAATTAATAAAATAATCAATAGAATAACATACCCTAAAATCTAAAAGTAATATCCTATAAGAAAAGAAAGAAAGTGTCTCACAAATACAAAGACAAAATGAATCTATACAAAGAACTATTGTATACAATCATATGAAAAGTCTTCAAAATATTAATCTTAATAACTATTATTTTTTATATCTTTTAATTCTTATTAATCTTCTCAACTTTTTCAATCTCAATAAGTTTATATTATACTCATTGAGATAAACAATCGAAACATAATTCACAAATAAGTTTACTTTTTCAAAAATTATTTTAATAAATTTAAAATATAGACCGGAGAGAGAAGATTGCAGAAGAAGATTCAAATTTTTAAAAAAATAAATTTTAAAATTTGCACAACCATTAATGGCATCTATTATTCTATTTACAATAAAAATTGAGATGTATATCACATCATATTTTTAGAATGCTCACATTTACCATTACAAGGTTTTAAGAATCGTTCAAGGACGTTATTTTTGTCCGCAACAACACAGTGTTATTACAGATGATATTAACATCTTTGAGCACAGTATTGAAGTCCAACGTTACTAATACCAAGCAAAATTTCAGTGCGGATGCAAATCAGAGTTCCTTCACAGTTGGAATACGATTTTTTTCTTTATAAATTTCGTTTGTAAATTGGATACTCATTGCATGCTTACAACATGTGAATTGTATGAATTCACGACCTTGCTCAAGTTGTGAAGATAGCAAATACATACTTTTAAAAGAGAAAGTTGTTGCCGATGATAAACTTGCTAGAGATATTATGATAAAAATAAAACAAAACATATCATAACAGACCAAATAAAAACTTAAAAAAAGTAGAATCATTCTAAATTAAATCTTAAGATTGTGGAGTTAGGTTCATGCATCTTCACCTCCTCAAACTTGGCGTGGGACCATAAAGACCAAGTTCTGATTTTAGTTGAAATAAATGAGCTTTTGCCAAATATGCAAGTTGGTTTGGAAAAGGAACATAACAAGTAACCTATTGAGATGCAAGCAAAGTCTCACATCGTTCAAACAAGAGAATAGACATGAGTTTATATACACACTTGTCTCCATTGGTTGAGAAGTCTTTTGGGTGATGTTCAAAAGTAAAACCGTGAGGGCTTGGACCCAAAACAGACAATATCTCACCAATGTGGAAACATGTGTATATGTGTGGTAACTCCCAATGCACCACATAACCAATGCGTCCTAAGCAACAAAGTGATAGTCCAATTGAATGGGCTTTGTTGGAGAATGAAAAATAGGATTAACAGTGAAATAAAGTGCACTAATGCAGTTGCAAAACAATTGTGGAGGGTCAGGTAGGTGAAGTCAATGTCATGAAGAAGATAACTCAACAAAGTAAGTTTAGTAGCAACAGATGCCATTGCTTGTTACCCAACCTTTGCACTTGAGCGTGCGATAATGTTTCTTGACCATGAGATACAATTGCTTTCGAGGAAAGTGCAAAACCCAATAGTGGATCCTTGAGTGAGTGGACAACTACCCAGTGGACATCAACAATAACATACAAATTACACTAATGGAAAATTAGTCTTTTACGTCACCTCTTTGTCGTTGGACATACAAAAAAGCGACGTAAAAAAAGACGCGGTAGCAATTTTGTAAATAAGTCAAACAATTTTATGTCGGACCCTATGTAGTCCGACGTAAAATTTGAAATCTACGTCGGATGTATCTTGTGTCCGACGTAGATTTGAAATTTTACGTCGGACCCCTAAATAGTCTGACGTAAAATAGTTTATTATTTCCCCCTATCTTTTTCCCCCGCGTCCATTTTTGTCACTGGACCCTTGTCTTCGTAGACGCCCAAGACAGAATCGGAGGCTCGCAGGGCGTGGGCTTGTTGAGGGTCGAGGGTGGCGGCGAAGCCGTTGTAAGCAGCGGTGTAGGCGTATAGCATGGAA